GAGAGATTATGTCACACAGAGATGCAGCACTCCTGTTGCTGGTTTTCTCCCTAGGTGCCCCCAGCTGCTGGGGCGAGGCCAGCTCTGTGGGGGTCTGCCCTGTGGGTGGCAGGGCTCCAGTCCCCTGAGCCGCGTCTGCCTCTCCCTGAGCCTGCGTTAGCAGGGAGCTGGGGTCAGGAGTGGGCGCTGGGCATCGGACACAGGCACTGCCGTGTGGGAGGTGGGCTCCTAGCGCTAGGCCCAGTGCCTGCACTCCCTGTTGTGTGTGTTTTGTTTTAAATTTGGCTGAGTACCTGTGCCTTGAAGTACACGTCAGGTGAGTGGATGAAGAGCCATGTGTCTTCTTGTTGGCGTTGCTCTAATTCACAATCAGATTGGCCATTTCTTGAGCTTATTTAAGAAGCTCCATGTCTAGAGAGAGAAGTCAATATTTACAGTGCATTAGTGCCGGGCGGTTTCGGGTCTGGAGACGCGGCTGTGCCTGCTCCCTGCAGCTTCAAAGCCACCCGCACATCAAACGGCCCAGGGACATCGCTCCAGCCCTCGCGCTTCTGCCAGCAGCTTAATTATTGAAGAACCCGGTCTTTGAATCTTCTTTTTAATATTTCAGATGATATACTTTGAACAGCTCTGTATTCAATAAATCAGAAGATTACAGGGTTGGAAAGTTCTGCCGCCATATTTTTAAATACTGCAGTTTTCCTGAAGTTAGGAACGGAGGAGTTGGGATAAAAATGACCAGGACCCCTTCCTCGGGCAGCTCCTGTTGTTTCTCATCACTGGAACGAGTGCAGATCGCATCCGATTATTCCTGATGCCGAGTGGGCGCCAGGAACAGCCCCAGATCCCAGGGGAAGACACCTTCCAGTGCTCTGCGGCCAAGACCAAACCGCGTTTCTTGTTGTCGTTTCTCGAATTTTCTTTTCATTTTATGTGAAAGAAAGATACAGAGCTCTTTTCTTCTCTCCTTCATCCCCAAACCCGCAGCAGCCAGCGTCTCAGGAAGCAGAATCGGAAGCTGGTACGAGACTCCGCGGTGTGCACGGTCGCCCCATGCAATGGCTGAACCTGCGGCCCCACGGCACCAACCTCCTTTCTTGTTGACTTTTTAAAAAAAAATTAATTTTTTTAAAAAGATTTATTTATTTGAAAGGCAGAGTTGCAGGGCTGGGGGAGAAAGAACCGTCTACTGGTTCATTTCCCAAATGGCCACAAAGACCAGTGCTGGGCCCATCCAAAGCCAGGAGCCAGGAGCTTTATCTGGCCTCCCGAGGGGGTGCAGGGGCTGAAGCACTTGGGCCATGTTCCACTGCTTTCCCAGGCTCATCAGCAGGGAGCTGGATCAGAAGAGGAGCAGCCGGGACTCAAACTGGTGCCCATGTCAGATGCCAGTGCCTCAGGCGGAGGCTTAACTTACAACTCCAGAGCGCCGGCCCCTTTTCTAATGTTTGCATGATCATACATGGAGTAGGCATGACACACTTCTGCTGTATGCGGCATGTCCACCGTGTCTTTTGAGAATTCCTTGTCTGCAGTGGTCTGTGTGCCAAGGAGCCAGTTTTCCCAGAACAGTGTTTTCTCAGGAAGGCCAGCGCACCCCGGTTACTTGGTTTATGTGAGGATCAGTGATGTGAGCCCATCCATAACAAGACGGACCCTTGACCGTTCTTGTCCCCCATGCTACAGCTCAGACTTCCGTGTGCAACTTGGGGTCTGGAGGTTTCTGTTCCCCAGTGACCATGGAGCTCCCCAGTCCGCAGTGCCTTTGCCGTTGAAGTCAGTAGATCTTTTGGCTGCGTCCCCGTTTGCAGGGCTGATGGAACGCTGTGGCTAAGCTTCCCAGGTGCCTCGCAGCACCCGGCTCGGCGCCTCGATGATGTGGTTTGGGTGTCTGTAGGTGAGGCCATGCTGCGCGTGTCTTCAGCTGGGTTCCGCTCTTGCCTCGTCAGCTCGGTTATCAAATCCGGGGCCACCTTCCTGGGATCAACAGTGGAAACTGACGTAAACCTGGGGTCTGAGACTGGGGGTACCTGGCGCCCACGGAGTGACATAATAGACTCGGGCACAGTGAGCGTTTATGCTGCTTCCTTGTATGGATTTTCCTGAACGTGAAAAGCTTAGTGCACTGGGAACTCACGGGAAGGCCGCATTATGGGAGCTTCTCTGGATGTCCTTAACATTGCAGTTAAAAAAAACTGAAAAAGAGAGAGAGAGAGAGAGAGAGAGAGAGAGAGAGAGAGAGACATCTCCCCACCTGCTAGCTTGCTTCCCAAATGCCTCCAATGGCCAGGGCTACGGCGGGTCAATGGCAGGAGCTTGGAACTCCATCTGGGTCTCCACGTGGGTGTCAGAGACCCCCACCACTCCCAGGACGCACACTGCAGGAAGCTGGGGTGGAGACCCAGGCTGGGACCACACCAGGCCCTCCAGTCCGGGATGACCCGCCAAGCCGAGTGGCTGCCAGACGGTGCAGTTCATGCCAGTGATGCCTGGCCCCCGGCGCATGCCGCGCTGGTGAGCTGCCGAGAAATCTAGACAAGTGCTCATTAGACCAGCAGATGAACCCGGTGAGCTTGTGGGAAGAGGGTCCTGGTTACTTACCTGTGGAAACCGTGTGTCCTGGTGCCCCTGGGATTTCAGGCACACGGAGAGCACGCTGTTTCCTTGGGGCAAGCACACTCGGGGGATCACGCGGGAGCTCTGTGCTCCAGGGCTCGGGGTTCTGTCCTGTGGTCGTCTGCAGACTGCGGGCGCAGCTCTGGGTCCTCCTGTGCCTTGTCTTGTGGGCGGTTAGTGCTGCTGTTCCCCCTCACACAACGTGGGGTGCTTGGAGTTTCCTAACAGAGCAGCTAGAGACCTTGAACAGTGTTGTAGTTGCACCAGAGTGGTGCAGTGCAACCCTCCACCCCATTTTGTGTTTGTTTTTATGTAATGACTCCCGGAGATAATTTTTTCCCCTCTTGGTGGAGAAATTTCCTTGTAGTAAAAGCATTGTGATCTTAACACATACATTTATTTATTTATTTGGAAGACAGAGTGACAGATCTTGCATGTACTGGTTCACTCCCCAAATGGCTGCAACCGCCAGGTCAGGTCAGGCTAAATCCAGGAGCCCAGTACTCCATCTGGGTCTCCCACGTGGGTGCAGGGACCAAGCACTTGGGCCGCCTTTGGCTGCTTTCTCAGGTGCATTAGCAGGGAGCTGGATTGGAAGTGGAGCAGCAGGACTCAGATAGGTGCTCCAGTATGGGATGCTGGCATCGCAGGTGGCAGCTTAACCCGCTCTGCCCACAACCTGATCTCACTCAAGCTTTTCTTTGAGATTCATTTTATTCCTTTGAAACATAGAGTTACAGAGACAGAGAGGGAGAGAGAGAGAGTTCTTCCATCCCCTGGTTCACTTCCCCAAACAGCTGCAACGGCCGGGCTTGGGCCAGACCGAAGCCAGGAGCTAAGATCTTCATTGAGGTCTCACACAGGGGTGGCAGGGACCAAACACTTGAGCCACCCTCTGCTGCTGTCCCAGGCTGTCAGCGCCATTAGCAGGGAGCTGGATCGGAAGTGGAGCAGCCTGGACTCTGTGGAGTTCTTACTGGATTTTGTCTATTTTGGGGCGCAAGTAACAGGTGGCAAGGGCTGTAACAGTACTTACACAAACTTAAAATCCATGTGTTTTTCGTGTCTGTTTCGGCCAGCACACTGTGTATAGCCATCGTCAGGACTAACGTTAGCTATTTGGTATTAGGTCTGCTTGTCCTGTGGTCCTGTTGCCAGGCTGTATGTGACCAAGTCCTCGTGGTGTGTTGGCACAGTTTGTGCTTTGGTGGGGTGAGTCCCGTGCTTCTGCTTCTTGGGGTCGTTGCTAACTTGCTTTCGTGTTCCGGGGACTCGCGTCCTACCTCTGAACATGGCTTCCTGTGCAGCTGGTGTGCTCCCAAGCTTCCGAGTGTTTTCCCTGTGGCTGACACGGGCCTCTTGGTTCCGATGCTGAAGGGGCATCTCCTGTGCTGCTGTCTGTCTGTCTGGTTTTTGTTTCTGTCTCTTCTCCGTCAGAGCCTGGCCGCCAGCGCTGCTGATGCCAGCACGTGCCTGAGAGGGAGATTGGCTGCGTTAGCGCCATAGCTGCAGACTGCGGTCTGTGGATACAGTGGCTCGAATGCCGTCGTGGGAGTAGATGCGGGAACTCTGTGGGTGTTACCTGTCTGGACTTTGTCCAGGTTTCCGCGTGGAGAGACGTGCTTTTGCTTCATTCTGTCTGATAACTGCTTACTGGGTGAAAGCAACAATTTATCCCCCAAATTCTTCAGAGTAGCCGCACGTCATCGAGGTGCTTCTCGATCTACCAGATACCGGGGGACAAAGTTCCTGGAAACGTGGACGTAAAGGAAATTGCTTTTGGTGCCCAAAACCTTGAAACCTGTGCATACGAGGCAATCTTCGAACGTCTCAAGGGACATGTGTGTTAAGAAAAATCAGGCACGCATTTCAGACTTTGTGGGGGCGAGAATGAACTCTCCTGCTGATCCCGTTTCCAGTGGCTCCGTGACACCGCGCGTGTGGGGTTTGTTGAGCTGCTCGGCTTCAGTAGTCGTGTCTGTGAGGAGTCGTCAGCAGTGCTGGGGGTGGGGGGCGTCACTGCTGTCTGCCAGGGAGCCGTGTTTGGTGTACTTGGTGCCATGGGGCCTCACGGTTTCCTTCTGTGAGATGGGCTGAGCCAGGCACTGGAGTGTAAGGGATTGCAGGCCAGGGCTCTCAGCTCCCCCAGACTCCCAGGGACAACACACGGTCGACCCCAAGTGCACGCCCGGGCAGCCTCGCTCCAGAGCTGGCCACCTCTTGTTTGCCCTGTGGCGTTGCAGAGGAAGCCGTGGAGTTTATGCTTCCGTGCTGGCTCCTTGGCCCTTGTGGGGAAGCTTGAGTCCTTGGCACCCAGCTGATCCCACCGTGCAGTTTCAGGGTTCGTGCCTTGCGTTAAACCGTGTGCTTCTCTCTGCTGCCAGATATGCCTCTGCACGTGCGCCGGAGCAGCGACCCCGCCCTCGTGGGCCTGTCGACCTCGCTCAGCGACAACCACTTCTCCTCCGAGGAGCCCTCCAGGAAGAACCCCACGCGCTGGTCCACAACTGCCGGCTTCCTCAAGCAGAGCCCATCGGGTGGTCCCAACACCTGCGACAGGAAGGTGAGCCCTGCACCTGCTGGCTTTAGCCCTGCCCTCCTCCCTTGCACCTGCTGGCTTTAGCCCCGCCCTCCCCTGCACCTGTTGGCTTTAGCCCCGCCCTCCTCCCCTGCACCTGCTGGCTGCAGCCCTGCCCTCCTCCCCTATACCTGGCTGCAGCCACACCCTCCTATCATCCACATGGCTGCAGCTCCACCCTCTTCCTTTGCACCTGCTGGCTGCAGCTCCGCCCTCCTCCCCTACCCTCCTCCCCTGCAACTGCTGGCTTTAGCCCCATCCTCCTGTTGTCTACTGGAAGGTGAGCCCCACACCTCTGGCTTTAGCTCCGCCCTCCTCCCCTGCACCTGCTGGCTGTAGCCCCACCCTCCTGTCTTCCTGGTGGTGCAGTGGTAGTGTTGCGGCCAGGTGTCGTCTACTCCAGGGCCCCTGTCGAGGCTGCTTGCATACCAGATGCCTCCTGAGCCTCGTTGAGCTGAATTTCCTGATAAGATTCCGTGCTGAGTGTGGCATACATTTCTTTTTGTGTCCAGCTTTTGAGTGGGTGATATACTCTTGGATCAGCAATGGGCAGGTCCATCAGGAAGGGTGTGCCCCATAGAGCCCCTTCCCTGCGGTGGTCCCAGGCCCCCCTCGGCGTGCTGCTCGTATGTCCCTACAGGGACACTTCCCGCAGGGATGAGCGCGTTTCCCCGTGTGCTTGGGAAGCGCCCCTGAAAGGCCACAGCGGACCTCCGGGCCGTTTATTCTGACTGGCCGATTGATAACTTCATCTCCTATAAGTCTCCCAGCGCAAATGGAAGTGTGCTGTCTGGGTTTAATGCAGTTTTCCTCCTTGACCTAATTTATTTTGGCCCTTGACCTGATGTGTTCAATCTAAATAAGCTTTAGCTTGTGCCGTCTGTTTCTGAAGATGCATGTGTTAATGCTTTCTGTCGTCTGTCCCCCTGGAGCCCTTACCACCCGCTGTGTCCACTTCGGCTTTTCCCCACCCACTTCCGCTGCTGCACCTGCAGGACAGGAGCCCCGCCCACGTCTGTGGGATGAATTAGTAGACAGTGTTCAGTGTGGCCTGTCACTCAGCACAGCGTGCAACGAGAAACGTGGAAATCATAGTAAACGCCTGTTAGTGTCAAGATGGACATCATGTTTTTTGTTTTTTAAGATTTTATTTATTTATTTGAGAGGCAGAGGTAGAGACACAGAGAGAGGTCTTCCGTTCACTGGTTCACTTCCCAAATGGCCACAATGGCCAGATCTGGGCTGATCCGAAGCCAGAAGCCAGCAGCTTCTTCTGCGTCTCCCCTGTGGGTGTAGGAGCTCGGGCTCCTTCCACTGCTTTCCCAGGCACAGCAGAGAGCAAGTTTGGAAGTAGAGCAGCTGGGTCTTGAACCGGTGCCCATACGGAATGCTGGCACTGCAGGTCAAGGCTTAGCCCATTACACCACAGTGCCAGCCCCCCCAATTTTTTTAAGCTGAGAAATTTTTTTGTTTGTTTGTTTGTTTTTTAAGATTTATTTATTCGAAAGTCAGAATTAAGGAGAGGTAGAGACAGAATCTTCCATCCACTGGTTCACTCCCCAAATGGCCACTACAACTAGAGCTGGGCTGGTCTGAAGCCAGGAGTCCCAGCACTCGGGCCATCTGCTGCTGCTTTCGCAGGCACATTAGCAGGGAGCTGGATTGGAAGTGGAGCAGCTGGGACTTGAACCAGCAGCCATATGGGAGCCAGCTTCATAGGTAGTGGCTTAACCCATTATACCACAGTGCTGGCCCAGGATGGACATATCTCGATACTTGCTTGATGTACCCTTTCTACCTCTATCAAGGAGCCTGTCTTGAATATTTCTTGTAACTTAGTTTTGCCTTTGAAGAAACCATTATTTTGGCCCTTGACCATTCAATAAAAAGAAATCCTTGGGGTGTGTACATTTAAACCAAGAAGAATCTACTAGGAAGAGATGGAGAGTATTTGGGTTTTTAAACTTTTGGCCGAGGGATTTAACTTCAGGCCCACTCCCCTGAAATACCCTGGATTCCAGGAAGAGCCTTGGGGGCATCTGCTCACTGTAGCGGGAAGTCAGTGGCCTTTGTCATGTAGCAGGCTTTCCCGGGAGTCCAGGCTCTGGAGAGGCGTCCTGGCTTGGACCGCGTTTGCGGGGATGATCAGGAGCGTGTGAGCAGCCGGGGCTCCCACAGAGCCCTCACGGTGATGGGCTTTCTTTTCAGCCGTCCTGCATCTCGGGGGTGTGGGGCAGGCAGGCTCACGTACAGCACACAGACCCACGCAGTTCCTAGGAGTTGTTTATGTCAACGTCACTCAGAGGGGCGGCGCCCGCACTCCTCCCCGAGCTGTGCCCTGTGTCACCCCCGGTAAAACCTTACACCACAGGACTGGACTGGGCAGGGGGCAGTGGGGACCTGGCCCCTCCAAGCAGGGGGTCTGCAACGTGAAGCTGGAGCCTTCCAGCCCTGGGAGCAGTGCCCACTGCCCACCACGTCCACCTCTGTCGCTGCAGAAATGGGGACGCTGGTAGGATAGAGCAACACGGATTTGCCCGTAACTCCCAATCCCAGCAGCCAGGAGCTGGCACTGAGGTGTCCCCACCATCTCCCTCCCCTCCCCTCCCCTCCCCTCCCCTCCCCTCCCCTCCCCTCCCCTCCCCTCCCCTCCCCTCCTTTCTTCTGCTCTTTTCCTCTTCTCCTCTTTTCTCTCTCTCTCTCTCTCTCTCTCTCTCTCTCTCTCACACACACACACACACAGGATTCCTGCCGTGTGTACAGGTTTGCATCCTGGTTATCTGTACATTTTCCCTATATCACAAGGGATATTTCCCCTGCTGTGAATTTTATTAGACAGCGTTTTTAATGAATGCCCAATGTTCTCTTGTACCGTCTCTTATAATTTTTCGTTCTCCCATTAGTGGTTTTTTTTTTTTTTCTTACAGGGGGAGAGAGAGAGAGAGAGAGAGAGAGAGAGAGAGAGAGAGAGAGAGAGAGAGAAAGGTCTTCCTTTACCGTAGGTTCACCCTCCAATGGCCACCGCGGCTAGTGCACCGCGCTGATCCGATGGCAGGAGCCAGGTGCTTCTCCTGGTCTCCCATGGGGTGCAGGGCCCAAGCACTTGGGCCATCCTCCACTGCACTCCCGGGCCACAGCAGAGAGCTGGCCTGGAAGAGGGGCAACCAGGACAGAATCCGGCGTTCCGACCGGGACTAGAACCCGGTGTGCCGGCGCTGCAGCCAGAGGATTAGCCTATTGAGCCGCGGCGCCAGCCCATTAGTGGGTATTTATACAAGGGGACTTCAGAAAGTTCACAGAAAGTGTGATTTGACGTTAAGCTTACGGCCGGCATTGTGGCACAGCCGGCACAGCTGGTGCCACCTGTGACACCAGCATCCCTCGTGGGCACTGGTTCATGTCCAGCTCCCTGCTATGGCCTGGGAAAGGCACAGGAGGATGGCCCCTGCGCCCATGTGGGAGACCTGCACGGAGCTCCTGGCTTGACCTGGCCCAGCCCTGGCCCTCTGTGGCCATTTGTCAAGTGAAGCAGTGGATAGAAGGTTCTCATGTCTTTCTCTCTCTGACTTTCAAATCTCTTTTATTTTAAAGTTAAGTTTATTTCGGTGCAAGACATGTTGGAAACCCACACAGAGCTTTTCTGTAGTGCAAGTTTCCCCCCAACTCTTTCAAGTCCCTCATGATATCCCCACTTTGTATTTAACGCTGGTGATACATCCTTGAGCGTGATTTGGTTTAAAGATCCTTGGCTACTCAGCCAGCCTTCCCCTGTGCGGAGCTGCATGTGGCCAGCTGCCCGCACTCCCCACACCAGGTTCTTCAGCTGTGTAAGCATCTGTGTCTGAGGAAGCCCAGTGGACGGGTAACTCAGTGTCACGGGTCATGCGTTGGCTTACATTGTTCTCTGACTTTTCAAATACCAGCCCAGTGATCTCGCTGAGTCTGTGCTGTTTGCATGCAGTCAGAGCTTTTCACGTGTTTGTGTCTGGTGAGATACGGCCTCATCTCCAGTTATCCAGAGACTTCCGTGTATTCCTGATGCAGAGGGTGGGGAAAGCGGGGAGGCCGACTTGCTGATGAGGTGCGAGGCGGGAAGTTTGTTTATTTCTGAGCAGGCGCAGGTGCTGCCTGTTCCCGGCCTTGTCAGTGCGGCGTGGTTTCGTTTCTGTGTGAAATCACGGGAATAAACTGGTTCAGCGTCCAGGTTCTTCTGCCTCCTCTGTCCCCCTGGGCTCCCATGAGTCCCCTGCCTGAAGGGCTCATGGTCTGGCCCGGTGGTTTGGAGTCTTCGGCAGGCTCTAGAGCAGTGCTGGCATCCCTCAATGCCTCTGCTGCAGCAGGCGCTCTGTCCTGATTGGGGTCTTCCACCTGCCCCGGCTGGAATCCTGGCCCCGCCTCCAGGGTGTGGGCAGGCCCCGGGTCTGTGGGCTTCTGCATTCCTTGAGGTTTTCTGTCCTTGTCCTTGGAGGGGAGACCGGGTGGCCCCTTTGTGGGATGCCTGTCCATTGCAGTGGGCAGGCCGTCCACGTGTTTGAGAGCGCGTGCCTGTCACGGTGCCACGGAGTGCTTGCGATTCTGCCACTGCCCCTCGTCAGTCAGCCCGCTGGGGACCGAGGCTGGCGAGGGCAGAGAGCACAGCTGGCCCACCCCATCAGGAAGGTGGAGCGAGGCTCTGAGCAGTAAAGACCACTGCTGTGTCAGCAGCCCCTGGCAGCCACAGGTGCCTGGTTCTGAGTTGCCTTCCTCCTCCCCCTCCTCCCCCTCCTCCCCTCCCCCTCCCCCTCCAACCCTCCCCCCCAAACCCGCACAGGTAGGTGCGGTGCTGCCAGCGTCCCAGGGAGAGGCTTTGCTGCTAGGGAGTGGGAAGACACTGCGTTGGCATCCTGAGCGTTTTTTAAAACAAATGACTTCAGAGGGCCTTGGATGATTTCCTGTGCCCTGGGCTTATGGTTGCCGGGTGATTTCAAGGCTTGGATCTGGTGTCT